CCGCAGCCGGCCGCCCCGACGACCAGCGACCGCTCACCTGGACTCGCCGGCCCTGCGCGGCGCCCGCCCCACCCAGGCCTTTTATAGCTCTGGGCGCCCGAGGCCCCAGCCCGGGCGGGTTTGCATTTCAAAGCGGGGGGAAGCCTCCCGGCCGCGAATCAAAGGGGGAGACCCGTCGGGGGCGGGGGGTTCAAAAGGAGACAAATTGCCGCCCCAAGCGGGAGGTGGACTGGCCAGGGCCTGGAGGGGGTGGGGTGCGGAGAGCTCAGAGCGCGCCCTGGGCCAGGGACCAGGCACCGCTCTGTACGGGACTCGCCGGCTCGGGCCCAGACACCTCGTCCTTCTCGTGGCCGCGTGCGCCATCCTGCAACCTTTTACAGGTGGAGAAACGAACTCTGAAGGGGGGGGCTCCCCAGGCCAGTGTCACACATGCACACTGGACCTGTGGCCCACCCCGCAGTGCCCAGCCGGCTTGAGGTGAGGGCGGCAACGCTGACTTCAAACAGGGCTCCGGTCTGGAAGGTAGCAGGTCCTTCACCTTTTTTTGGTGGAGGGGAGAGGGGTCACGACCCCTCTAGTCTGGGATGAAAGCTGTGGATGTTTTCCTCTGGGAAAATGCACATATGCACATACGTGAGCCTTCATGCAATTGGGGGTTCGCCAGAGCTGCGCTCTAGATCTGAAAGGCCTGGGGAAGGGGAGAACTTCTGGGCACGTTCCTGGAAACTTCAGATTCTCTTGGCAGTTTCCTATTCTTCTCCTTACTGTCCAGGGGTTTCAAACATACACAGAGTGGAATGTGTGAGCAACCACCGTGTGCCCATCACCCAGCCTCAACAATTAGCAGGATTTGGCGACACTCATTCCATCTGCTCCTTTCTTCTCTAAGGTACTTTAAAACAAATTCCAGATACCATGTCATTTCACCCCTACCCACTTCAGCAGGCATCTCTAAAGCACACGGGCATTTTCTTACACATCTAGCAAAATCAACGCCAATCCCTGGGTATGACCTGACACAGTTTGCATTCAAAGAACTCCTGGTGGTTTAAAAATGTCTTTTCTAGGGACAGCAGGTAGATCCCACATGGCCATCTCTGTGGTTTGAGTCCTGGATCCTGCGGCTTGAAAAACGCACCAGGCACTTGAGTTTGCATGCTCAAAATCACGTGAGGAGAATGGAGGAGAAGCGACTGCAGCATGGCCATCCCCCCTTGAGGGGTGATTCTCACTTTCCATGTCTCTGAGTCTCTCACTGTCTCTCTCTGGAGAGCTCAGGAACTCTAACAAAACCAAAAAGATGTCTTTGGGGGGGGCAGATGGTGGACGTAGTGGCAAAATGTGTGGTTCTGCGAGGCAGTCCCACATGAGAACGTTTCTGGTTCAAGTCTGAAGATCTTACCCATGATTCTGGGCTGGCTGAAGGCTGGAGATGGATCACAGTGTCAAGACCCTGTTGGGAGTTCTCTCTCTCTCTCCCTCTCTCCGTGTCTCTCTTGTTCATAGAAGGAATAAATAAATAAATTTAAAAACATTTCTGGGGGGGCCAGCAGTTAGCGTAATGGCTATGTC